ACAGACATCAGGAAATAAATACTTTTCGAATCCATTAACTTTGACCAAAAATTTAAAAAATTAATCTAGTGTAATTTGAACTTTTTATCAGAGAAAATTTCAAATTAACACATTATAGCTACTTTATCTGTTTTTTGGAAGAGTAACTAAAAGACATCCATAAAAAAATTGGTCTATGAAAGATTTTAAGTTGTTCAGATATTGCTTTTCCCAAGAAGAATACTATTCAATATTGATGAAAATTTATTTAGGTCTCACAAGAATGAAGACACTCCTTCCCTGGGATTCCAGATTGTAATTCTATGTACTTTAAAGCTTCCTTTCCTTCTGCCATTTACTGCCCACTCATATTCTCACCCTAGAAAGTAGACAAAAAGCAAACAAGGTCTGTAATGTGGTAACCAATTTAACCTTTCTGAGCATAACCCAGTGTTTTGATAATGTTTATTGTTCTTTTATATACAAATTAAGAATTTCATCATGTTTTAGTTTTTTTCCCAGCAAAATATCAAATTTTAATATTTGAAATCTCTTACACTTCCATTCTCACTGACTCTAAAAACCAGATATTTATATTTAAGGTGAGTATGAAGGGGTGGTCTCCTTGCCCAAGGAGTCTGAGCTCAGGAGGTGCACTGGAGTCCTAGGGAGGGCTCTCTGTTCTTGATGCTAACTGTTGCCTTGCATTTCTTACTCCCTGTGCTTTTGTTTATACTGTGCTCTTGAGATAGAATGTTCTCCCAAGTATACACCCTTCCAGTTTTGACCCCAGCTGGCCTGAAGGAAAAAACTAGTGTGCCCACTCCCTAAGGCCTCTGACCTCTCTTCTAAGTGATATTGAATGCTTCCTGTTTGTGCCTTTGTGGGCTATAATTTTTTATCACAGCCCTTACAATACTGAATTACCTCTGTGTTGATGAGGGGCACAACAGATACTAGGTATAAATAGAAATTAGAACTTTGGTCTTTGTTCTTACTATGCATAGTTTTCTACAACCAATCTGGTTTTGTCACTTCTGTTTCCTTAATTGCCTTGCAAGCCTGTACGTGATCTAGCCCAGGGCTACTTTTCTAACTGCAGCTTACACTTCTCACCTCATGTTCACTGTTCTCCAGTCACTCAGGCTTCCTGTGGTTCTCAAACTTTTCCAAAATGCTTGACTCAGACCTTTGTGCTGCCTTGGATTCTCTTTTCCTAAATATTCTTATGTCTTGCTTACTTTTTTTTCTTCTGGTGTATACTCAACTATATCATAGCTTTTCTCTCTAGTTCTTTATTCTGAATTACTCTTCTTCAAGGTTTGGGGAAAATGCAATTCTTACCCTCCTGGGAGAGAACTGATTGTCAACTCATCCTCCCATTGAGTAACAATCAAAACCAGAATTAAACTTGTTTAATCAATCAGGAATTGATTTACAAAAGTCACACAACTTCAAAAGACAGTGGGGGACCATGTCCTTTGAAACGAAAGGATTGTGTAGGAACAAAAACTCAACCTTGCTGGCTTTGGTGTTTACCCAGAGGCAGGGTCGGTGTTCCAGGTTCTTGTCTCATGAAGCTGAAGAATGAACTTCACTGACAATGAGAGCAAGTAAAGTGGGAGAGTTTATGAGGCCAATAGGAAAAGGGGAACAGGTACTAGAGAAAAGGTTAGATCAAAAAGAATTAACCTAGAAGGTAACACCCACACACAGGAAATCAATGTGAGTCAATGCCCTGTATAGCTATCCTTATCTCAACCAGCAAAACCCCTTGTTTCTTCCTATTATTGCTTATACTCTCTCTTCAACAAAATTAGAAATAAGGGCAAAATAGTTTCTGCTGGGTATTGGGGGGGAAGAGGGAGGGGGCGGAGTGGGTGGTAAGGGAGGGGGTGGGGACAGGGGGGAGAAATGAACCAAGCCTTGTATGCACATATGAATAATAAAAGAAAAATAAAAAAAAAAAAGTGGGAGAGTTTATTGAGGTAGAAAAATAGCAAAGAGTAGAGCTCCCTGCGCTGGAAGGGGTCCAAGAGAGGGTGCCTGAGAAGTGATGTGAGCTGAGATTTTTATCCATTTTTTTCAGTTTGTTGCTTAATCTCTATATTAACTGGGTGTGCAGAAAGCAGCATTTTGGTCGGCTGTGTCTGCAACATGCCGATTGGGCATGTCCTAATATTCCTAGTGTCCTCATTCTGGTCTGTACTGCTTTTCATTCTTTCCACCTCTTATGGTAATGGGGAGGTAATAATGAAGGTTTCTAGGTGCCCTCTGACCTAGCTATACTGTCTAATTTTAGCTGACTGCCTGACCTACTTGTTCATCCTTTACAAAATTTCTAAAAATCAGATAATCGCCAATAGCTTTGGTGCAATGAACAGGTTTCTGAGTCAGCCAATCAGCCACAGTCTGACTCTGTGGTAAACAGGTTTCCATAGCTGGAGTGCACCACAGGCCACACGCTAGCCTCTACCTGTCATCCTTTCCTAAAACCCTAAGTTCAGGTAATTGTTTTAGACAAGTAGCTCTGCCAGTATTGATGAACATGTGTTGGAGACAAGGCTCCCTTTGTGAGCCATTCTGTCTTGACCTTGCCCTGGAACATTTTGCGGTTGTTTGTCCCAACTTCTCCATCTCCAGCACAAGATGGCGCCGTCCCTGCTTCTCTTCCGGGAGTTTACCTTGCCGCCGGCGCAAACGGGCACCCTATAGCAGAACCAGCCAACCAGCCTGCACCTCCTCATACCCCTCACTCCCTCAGCACATAAATACCCCTGTGTGAACAATAAAATTTTGCAGCTTGATCAGAACTCCTGTCTTGCTGTCTCCTTCTCTCCTTCGTGTCTCTTGTCCCTTCATTCTTCCCCTTCTAGGTTCGCTACCCACGCTGATGTGTCCTGCAGGACGGGACAAACATGTATAATATCATTGTATTGTTAAGCTTTTGGTTACTATCTGTGTCTATTAGATGTAAGGTCCATGGGGGCAAGTATTTTAGTGTTTTTTGTTGACGTTTATCATTTGATACTAACATTGGTGCATGGTACATTTTATGCACTCTATAAATGTTTGATGAAAGAATATTTAGAGAGGGAAAATGTACCATAGAATATAACATTCCCAGTGCCTAAGACAGAACTACTAACACAGAACTACTTAGAAGTAGTCCCATAAAATATTCATTAAATGAGTAGAAATAAATTGAAGAGGTCTCCATGTAATGTTGCAGCTATAATTAATAACAATATTTTCCATTCTTGAAAATTGCTAAAACAGTAGGTTTTTTAGCATTCTGACCACAAAAGATGGTATGTGAGGAAATGCGTATGTTAATTAGCTCAATTTAGCTATTCCACAATGTGCCTTTCAAGTGACTTCAGGTAATAAATATGTAAAATTTTATCAGTTAAAAGTAAATAAGCATTGGGCTGAGAATTTAGCTCAGTGGCAGAGCACTTGCCTCATTTGTGGAAAGCCCTGGATTCGAGCCCCAGAACCGCAAAAAGCAAGAAAATTAATAAATAGATAGATAAATAAATAAACATAGATGAATTCATCGTCTATGTATTTTTAAGAATACATTGCTCCCACTCGCAGCTGACACCACTTGCCCTGAAGGAATGGACAGTGTGACTGGGAGAAAGGGTGTATACAGTTGACTGTGGTTTTGGTGGTTAATACCTAAACTACTCTGCTCCAAGTAGAAGAACTTTTATGGTTGATTGAGGAAAGTCATGAATTCTGCCTGCTAAAGGAGGGAGCCATCAGAAAAGGTGAAAGCATAGAGTTAAGAACAAAGAATGCCAGAGGTAACTGAACCAGAAAATTGGGAAGAGGTCCTGTTCCTTTCCACCCTGCATCATTTACAGAACTAAGTTAGCAGTTGTGGACTACTGGGACAATCTAACTACCATAGACAGGGCTACTTCTAGGAGACGATTGGTTGCTAATTCTGAACAATGAACTTAGGAACAAATGCTTGGCAGACATTCCCTGGTTACCTGGGGGATTGCTCTGAGCTTCTGCAAACACCTTCATATATACCTGGAAATTTAGTTACTGTTTGTGTAATTCTAAGTTACAGCCTTTATGGTTTCTTGCTTAAACAATATCCTGTCCATCATTTTGAAAAGGGAAAAATTGTTATTCATAAAAGAGATCATCAGGCTGGTAGAGTGGTTGTGTGCCTGGCAAGTGTGCAGCCCTGAGTTCAAACCCCAGTACTGCTGACAGAGAGAGAGAGAGAGAGAAAGAGAGAAAGAGAGAGATCATCATTCTTGTGAGGACTTTGGTAATATGTAGACAACTAGGGTATAAAATTGGGAGGACTCCAAAAACATTAAGAAGTAAAAGATGTTAATTAATGGAATTTACAGTACTTCCTTGCTTCTGAATTTGCCTCACAGATTCAAGCTTTACTTGTTTTGTTTATTTGTTTTTAAGTCCAAGAGTTGTTCATGTTTTCATTTTCAGAGCTTTAGGTCTCTTAATTAGCTAAAACTTCATTGCAAAAAAGATAAAAATCCTGCCAGACAACACTCCTTTTACTAATTTGGAACATCATTCATAAGGTTATTTAAATCTCTGGCATCATTAGGCATTTAATCATGCCTTGGTTTATAAATATTCATTTCCTATGGAGTCTAACTCTTTCCACTAGAATGAACTGAAGTCATTATCTTCCTCTTCCTCATCAATATATATTTACTCAACCTGTAAAAGCATCTTTCCTCAATAGCAAATTAGCAAACAAAGTCAAAAGGAACCACTTTCAAAAAAAAAATTTTTTTTTAAATGCAGTCCTTTTGATTAGTAACCACCCCCAGTACCAGGAAAACTTCAAAGTGTTGTCTAAAAATTGAATTTTCATCAGTAATGCTGCAAGCCTTAGCTCTCATCTTTCATGAGAAGCAATGACTTCAAAAGGATAAAAAGACAGAATGGTAATCTCTCAAAGCAATCTTGTGCTCCAGCCAGTAATTGTGAACTCAGCTATCATGAATTCACAACAGGGTAATTGCCTCATTAAACCATGTTTTAATAAACATAATAATTAACGCTTTGTTACAAAAAAGCAAATACTCAAACCATCCAGAAATGAAATCCAGGGCCCACGGGATATCTAGAAGAAAATAAAAAAGAATTAGATAGCGTCGAATATAGACATCTTCAAAGGGAAAGAGATCATTTAAACTTGCCTTTTACTTACTGAAATACGTTCTGCGTATTCTATTATTTTCATCATCTTGCTTGTTATAAGCCAGCTAGTGAATGTTCAAAGAACATAAAATCCTATAAACAAATAAACTGAATATGAGTGAATTTACAGAAGAGCAACAATTAGGATCAAGAGCCTGACATGGAAGCTTTGATTATGAAAAGCAATTATGTTTTCCAGTGGTGTCCCAGCAACATGTTATTTATCGGTAGCACAAAACTGGAAAAGTTTCAAGCGTCATAGCACACATATGTTGAATTTTCAGAGTATAGGTAACTTCACATCTTATCTACTCAGCACAGTGTCATCAGTTACTATTTGGGTGATTGAGACTGCAGAGTTCGGGTTGGAGGCATGGCTCAGGTGGAAGAATACATGCTTCACAAGCACAAAGTCCTCAGTTCAAACCCCAGTACCACCAAAAAAAAAAAAAATTAAGACTGCAGAATTGAATTGTAGACACTCAAGAGCAGACACCAACCTCTGAGATTATTAATAGGAAAATGTGATTTATGTTGGAAATATAATTGAGAAATTGTTTTAAAAGTTATCTAGGCAAAAAAGGCAAATGTTTAGTGATACTATAATTTAACAAGGATGGGTGCTGTTAGCTATTCTTAGTGAGTATGTTTCTCTCCTTTGGATGTTGGGATTTTATCTACATCAATGCTCTTCAAGTTTATAGGGCATAGAGGAGTCTCGCTGGGACACCTTGTTCAAGTTTGTCTCTGACGAATGTGAGGTGGAGTCTGAGAATCTGCACTTTGAACCCGCTTCCACAGGGTCCGGTGGCTGGACTTTGCACCTGGCTTTGAGTAGGACTTTTGTTATGACTACTTTCCATTCACCTCTCACAGAATACAAGCTCTGAATAAGGAAATGTCTTTGTTGTAAATGAACATATGTTTAGACGGTTTCTGAAAATGACTAAAAAGAAAAATGATTAAGGTTTAAAGACAAAGAAAACACAGTCCTCTTTTCATAGTACATTGTTGTCTTCTGCCTATTAGGTAAAGTGGGTGAGTAGAGCAGGTTACAAATCTATTTTTAGTATGAAATTCAAATGTTGGATTAATACTGATTGTCTAATGAGGGTCTTGGGAAAAGGGTATGTGAGTGAGTGAATGAATTTGTTTGTGTGTGTGTTTAGAGAGGTTAGTGCTGAAGAAGTACAGGATGATCGAAAAAATCAGAAGAAACTGGGCACCAGCTTGGAGATCCCAGCTCCAAAATAACCACTCAAGTGGTAGTGCACCTGCTTTGCAAGTTCAAAGCCGTAAGTTTAAACCCTGGTCCAATCCCCCCCACCAAAAAATTGGAAAAGTGATCCAAGCTTGGTGGGGCATGCCTGTTACTGTAGTACTCAGAAGTCAGAGGGAGGAAAATCTCAAGTTTGAGTCCTGACTTGACTACATAGTGAGTTCAGTGCCAGCCTGGGACAGTCTGAACTGTCTGTCTTTGCTTCACTATTGTAAGAAGAGTGGGCAGGAAGTGATCACTTAAAGCACTGTCACATGGATAGAGGGGAATAAGATAAGAAATAGGTAAACCTGACTGGAATTGGTTAGATTTAGATAAAAATGGAAAATGAGCAAAAGTATAAAAACCCAGTATTTACACATATTCATTCTATCTTCTACCAATGATAGGGAATCAGTAGGTTCAGCTAATTCCCATAACATCCTGAAGAAAAAATTCTGATAGACATCTCGATCTCTGATCTTATCTGTTTTTATACTAAATTCTTTGTCTATCAATGAAATAACTAGAGTATTATTTTTAATTAATTTATTATTTTCTAAGTGTGTTTAAAGGAAGTCCAGTAAATAGGGCTAGTTTTTATTCAGTAGTTACATACATTAATGCAATCATAAGATTTATGATCCCGAAACCCTGAAGAATGGGAAAATATGAGGAAAAATGTTGATTTGTTTTAAAATGCTATGAGTTTTTGTAAGTGCACTGAAAATAGTTCTAAATGAGGAATTTGTTGGGGGAGGGGAGCTAATTTCCCTTTAATAAGCCAAGCATTTTGGCACACATCTTACTCTATCTTCTTTGGTCACCAATGTCCAGATACCAAGGGATGTTTTAATAAAATTGTAAGGTGGAAAGCAAGGGCAAGGACATATCTTTGTAATGACAACTGGAAGTCATGAAGTATCTATGTTCAGACTGGAAAGGCAAAAAACTGCCCTTTTCAAGATCTGAATATCACCCAGATCATTGTTGAGACACAGAACAGTCTTGATCTTTACCCAGGATGAATCATGTGACATTGATGCTTCCATCTTTTTTAATTAAAGGGAAAATAAATCAGAAAATCTAAATTGAAAAGAATGGGAAACTCGATTTTTGAGTAAATGATGAGACAAATGTCAAGGGACACTGTCATCCTTGAGGGGTATGAGGCCATTGGAAAGGGGCTGCCCAAGAGACAAAAGAGTTCCAAATTCTGATTTCTGAAGGACATTGGTCCTAAACTCACCTTCAATAGATAAAGCAACCTGTGTGGGTCAAATCTTTGCAAACTGAGATTGGCTGAATAGTAACTGACAAGTCAGAAAGAGAAAAATCACCTATCCTCTCTAAGCCAGACTTACAAAGAGAAAACAAGCACCAATCATGGCTGCCTTCACTGTCACGTCTAGGTCTCCAGGCACATGGATCCCAAAGTTGTCGGCATTTGTGAAAACATCGTTTACAAATCCTGACCAGTACTTTGAAATCTTCCCAATTGTAAGCTTTTCATTAACGGTTTTCACCTTTGAAATGAAAATAAGAGGTATTAAACTTGAAGAATGGTTTTACATTTCTCAGTCTGATCACTTCATGACAGCTATGAATTACTTTATTCATCATCTCCAAATGACAATTTCATGTTCGCAAAGTTGTGTAAATTTTACTTCCTAGCTCACTCTTTGAGAATGCTGAATTTTCTAATCTGCCACAGTTCCCTTTTTTGTGCTTTTATTATGCAGATGGAGAATATAATAGCAAAATAATTAAGGCCCGACAACCACAAGATGGCAGCAGGCAACCAGTTCAATTATATTGTCTAACCATGAAGGTAATTCCTTTATCTATGATTGAAATTTTAAAACCTGAATCTAATTTTAAAAAGTGCATATATGCAGATATGTTAGAGAAAGATTTATAAGATAAAATTTTTTAAAGTTAAAAATTTTGTATTGTTAAAGTTAGTTATTAAAACATTGAACATTATCACACATTGTTAAATTACACTTTTGTTATTCTCAGTATTTGTTATGTCATTCCTTTCTAGTTAATCCTAAGCCTTATTTAAACATTAAAAATTTCTGTGCTAATGTACAATGCAAGAAGTTGATATGAGCCTGAAATCAAAATCTGTTGGTCCTTCTTGGCCAAAAAAAGTCAACAATTCAACTATAGTCACTATGCAATTTTTATCCTGTTTCCTACTCTGACTCTGAAAGTGATTTAATATAAACTTTCACTTTCTGTATGGCAATGAAAGAAAATAGAGAAAGTTACTTGGGATGTCTCCATGTCGTGAATACTAAAACACTTAGGGTTTATCATTCATATTACTCTGAGTAATGTCACATTACTCTGAAAGATTGTGTCCTTTGGGATGGGTGGGCTTAGGATATATTACTTAGAAAAACTTACAATGTATTCTATGTGAATAGTGTTCCCTGAAGTCTTAAAAACTGAATGACCTAAGAGGGATGCATATGAATGAATGAAAAATACATATATGTCTTATATCGGGTTGTCTTTGATGTCTAAGATGTATGTCTAAGAGAATCTGCTACAGTAGTTCATATCATCACAGTTGAATTTGCAGTTACCAATTTTAACATTAAATTACAGAAAACTAAGAGTGGAATGTTTTACAAAACAAGTTAGGCAAGTCTTACAAACATAGCTTTCTATTTCATTAATATTTTAATGGATTATGCTTCTGAAATGGGGCCTGAACTGTGTTAGGTGACCACCAGGTAGGTCTACAGGAAAGAAGGTGCATAATTTAGGTGATCTAATATATACATTATAAATAATACATAAAATATGTACTATATTATATTTATTTGCTTTTTACCATGTGTGGTTATAATTGCACATAAATCAAATCCACCAAAAAATAAGATATACTACTATTTTCAAAGTTAGAAAATATTGGTTATCTATCTTATACATAAGAAGATTGATGTTTGAAGATTGAAAAATATCACTTGAAGTAGGAAGATATAGTATTTTTACCCATTGTGTATAGCAAATCTACTCTTGGGGATTTTTATTTGATAATCATCATCATTTTAAATTTATTTCTTTGAATAACATTTGCCATTGTCTAGGATTGATATCATGGCCAACATAGTAAATATCTGTAGTATTATCTTTATAAAAATTCTGGGACTAACATCTCTGGAGTTACAAGTTTTTATTAATGGCATGGAAAAAACGAGTTTATTAGATTATTTCACTAATGTATTACCTTCTAAAAGTATTTTAGGGATATATCATGACATGAATGTTATAAAGATTGAATTATGTTACAAAAAATCAGGAGCTACATTAAAAATGTCTTTATTTTGTCCACCATACCTCAAAATCCACGTCACCAAAACAGCCACATGTTGCACAAGGGCCAACAATTTTCAAAATATCTTCTTTGTTTGCATTTTGGATTGTGAATTTGGGCTGAAAAGGGTCCCACTTCTGTGCAACATAGCCAACTATAGAACCAGGAGGGGCTTGGATTTCTAGCTGTAAGAAGAGACAATCATACAGTAAGATTTTCTAAGGTCATTGTATTTTAATTACATGTCAATGTCAATTCACCTCTAAACAGTATTCTGTTATGAAATTATTTTTGTATCCTACTAATCATTCTAAATATTTGATTCTAAGAATATAAAGCAGTTGGTTTTCTGTTTCATGTTTTGTAACGTCTTAGTTACAGAAGCAGATTCACTGTACAGATGTGAACCTAAGTCCATGTCTCACTTCCCTCAACAGACCGGAACAGACCATCTCCTCACCCTGGAACACTAGCTTCTTTGCCATTTCATTTCGAAGTTAGTCAAGCACAGTAATGTACTCTGTGGTAACTCAAAGCTACTTCTTAGTTGCAGCCATCACACACTTGTATCTTAAGCCTCCTCTACCAATTACTAAGTGTTCTTGTATTTTTTTCTCTTCATATTTTTAACTTACAACTTCTTTGTGTCTCATTGAAAGGAAATATTTCTTAGCAATATACACTTAAAAATGAATGACAGGGAGGTAAAACAGATCCTGTCTAGGGGTGGGTACCAGTAGGAGCAGGGAGCGTACACAGAGAGGTGAAGAAGGGCAAATACTGCGTACTCTGTGTATGTATGGCTGAAAATGGAGCAAAGAAGTCTGTTGAATCTGTTCTAAGAAGGGGGAGAAGGGAGGATGATGGGGACTGATGGACGAGGTAAATCTAATTGAGATACATTGTAAGCACATATGTAAATGTCACAATGAAATCTCCATGCATAACTAATACATTCTAAAAAATACTTCTTAAAGAGATAGAATTATTAAACAAACATCAATTTGGTTATGGGTGTATGTTTTCCAAAGTCTTGAAGACTAGCAGTTGCATTTTTTCATAGTTAGAAATTATAGAATCCCGTTATCCTTATGTATTTATATAAGCCATCAAATCCTTTAATAAAATTAATTGGGGGGAGGTTGGGTACAAATTCAAAAATTGTTTTCTTCTAAATAAACATAGCTCTACATTCCCTAATCTAAATTTGACTTATTACTAAGTTCATACTCTATATGCATGATGTCTGTAGGGTCCTTGGATAGACAGAGGTGGTTTTAATTAGACTTCATAGAATTATACTTGTTCTGAGATTTCTTATAATTAGTCAGTTTGAGTATGACCCAATTAAAATACTAATGAATATTAAGATGGACCTTGTTTAATTAGGGTATGTAATATAAAACTTATTATTAAAAAATTTCAGATGTATATATTTATTATTTCACTGACTATGCCATCTTTGGGCATATGAATCCTAATTTTTCTCACTAGTGAGATGAGAACACTTGCGCTCCATGTATGAATCCTTGGGCCTCCTTTATTGTTTAGCCAGGTGTTTGACTATAAATACAGAAATAGTTGCACTAGCCACTGTTAGAAACTTTCCTAAATAACCATCTTCCATACTAACATTTATTGCCATTGTCCTGAGGACAACATTTATACAGATGTCTTCAACAAAGAAACTTAGGATTGAATCAGGGTACTAGATCAAGTCCCATGTATGATGTTTTTCTGGATCATGGGTAAGCCATCTCTATTCTCTGAGCCCAGTTTGCTGGACTGCAAAATGCAAAGAATAAAACTGGCTCTTTCTAGCTTATTGAGGCATTATATCAAAGTCTAAAGTGAGCAAAAGGTCAGTGTAAATTCAACTGTGACATATCAATACTAGTTATTGTTTTGGGTCTGTCAAACAATAATGACAATCAATTTTATTTCAAACTAAAGTAATTGCATCAATTCCTCTAGAACAATAACATTGCCTTTGCCAAAACGTGGTGTTTGTAGTAAATACACAGATGCAAAGTGAAATTCTCTACTCAATAATAATACTCAACCAAGGCAGCACCTTAGAGGAACAGAGCACATTCTGGACTTTGCTACTGTTTGAGAGACCAGCACATATTTGCTTAATGCTGGAATTTGTAGACATTACAATTATATAGCTAATACAGAGGTTCACAAGGATGTGTCTTGATTACAAGATGTCTGAGCTATCTTTACCAATTAACCCCATGAAGCCACCATAGTGTTTCATTGGAAAAAAAAAGTGACTCACCAAATTCTCAAGCTGTTCTAATTCTGAAAAGCAATATGCTAATTTAAATAACTGAAAGTTTAATTGCTCCATAGCTCCAGACAAATGTCATTTAAATAAATAATTGCTAATCTGAAAAAAGAGAGACACTCAAAGCCAGTTACTAACCTCTTGCAGATAGCAAGGGCACCAGCAGCTGTTGCACCTCAAGGGCCTGTTGACTGTGATCACCTCTTGCCCTAAGTTATCTGTGATCCTCAGGGTGCAGGACCGCAGTGTGGAACAGACATTACGGTTGAAGCAAAGGCTTTCCTCCACAGCAAAGTAAATTCTTTGTCCCAAACCATTTTTAATCTCATATTTGTTGGAGGTCTCAGTGCCAAGTATCACTAACAGAAAAAAACCATTTTGTAAAATGATGACTCTTTGGTTGGCATCAATACTTTTAAATAAGTAAAGAGGAGACAGTATTAAAAGAAAAAAAGAATCAATGATTAATTTTTGTTGTTTCTGGTTTCTTCTTCATACGTGTCTACTTCTGTGCTCTGAACTGTGAACATTCAGCTACAGAATCAAAGTGAACTCTTAGAACAAAGCTAACTTGTTCACTCATTTTGATTCTAGAATGATGACCACACCTGTAGAACCACTTTTAAAGTAAAGAACCAATGCTGTAAAAAAAAAAAAAAAAGAGACAATGCTGTACGGAAGAATCTACCACTCAAGTACTCAATTTTTGTTGTTCAAGTTATGGAAACAACTTACAGTGGTAATGACTCACCTGAAATCTCTGACTGGTAATATTTCTACAGCTGTGTGCTGTCTGAATATTTATTTCAGTTTTGATTTGTTTGGGTTTGAATATAGAATATTGTGAACAGAAAGTAATTTGAAATCAATTTCATGTAATTCATCATCTTCATAAATTTCTGTATTGATGAATAATTTACCTGTTTGTTGAACCATTGGTGAAATAATAAAAGCACAGTGTTTTGCTTTAAGGGATTTTAGTTATGTAGTCTCAATCTTGACTTGTATTTCTGTATTTGCTAAGAAATTTTAATTGGAATAGTCAATTACCTTTTATCATTTTAAGATTAAATGTAATGTTAGAATTTGGATGGCAACAGCACCAAAGATTTAGAGAATCTTACACTTCCATTTTTACTTAAGCACACTACATTTACTTTTGGCTTTTGAAAAAAAGAGAAGACAATTTTTTCTTTTTGGTCTAATTCCATTCTACACATTTAACATTGTTGGTTATGACGTATTTAGTGTAAAAGAACATCGGAACATCTGGACACTAAAACCATCTCAACCACTTTAATAAGTGCAGAGCGGAGCATACTTACTTCCGAGAAGCTCCACCTGCTGGTGTATAATGATCAGGTCTAACTGTCAGAGGACGACATAAAGAAATAAAAAGTATTACATCGGCAGGCTTTGGAAACCTTTGGAGATGCTCTTGACCTATTTACTACACTACATGAAGTTAGACAACTTTCATATTCTCTGCTAAAACAGTTGTAAACAGATATAACGCAAAACAGGGGACAGTGTCTTTCTTGAAATACAAAGTTACAGGAACTCTTAAAATTCCAAGGCAGAATTTCTAAGACTAAGAATAGGAACATTGGTTAACTCGATGCTAACTCTTCCTGTGCTGATCAGTAAAAAGAAAGAGTTGAAGAAGATTTTCAAGCTATCTCTTAATGAAAATGTCTAAGATGTTTCATAATGCCCTGATTTTAAAGAATAAAGCAAGACAATAAGGATTTGAGAGTCTAGCCTTTCCTTTCAGTCACTGACAGGCTCTACTGTCACTCTGTCAGTCTGCAACTCATTCATCTCAGTGATGAAATGACACTGTTTAGGCAGAAAGAGGTTATTTTATTTATTTAATTTTATCTTGGTGGTACTGGGTTAGAACTCAGGACCTTGTGCTTGAGCCATGCCTTAGGCCCTGAAAGGGGATATTTTATAAGTATTTCCCATTCATCCTTTCTTTAGGCTAAGAAAAGGAACCAAATACCAATTTAAGCATAATAAGAATTCTAAATATGTGTCATAAAGTTTGCCTTATGTAATTACAAATAAAATTAATTTACAGTGATAATGTTTAGTTGAAAAATGATTACATTAAAAGGAAATACAAAGACAGTGCTTATGTATAACACTGCAGGTTATTGTATTTTCTTCTGCCATTTTGTTGGCAGCACTGGGGATTGAACTCAGGACTTTGCACTCAACACTTTATTCTCCCTTCCCATTAATAAACTCATCAGGAATGGTTTCATCAGCCAATCATTACTGGAACTTGGTTTTGATTGGACACCACAAACCAAGAAAGTTCGAAGCTCCATTATTTTCTTCTTTCTCCTTGAATATCTTGAGGTAGGAGTCAAGCTAATACCATTGCTTCAATTTAAATCTTCTTGTTGATAAAACAGAACTTTTACGACTCACTTAAAATATTTTTCTAAAATTAAGTTTTGATCTGAGTTATTCTAAAATCATATAAACAATTAAGGAAAATTGTTTTTTTTAAACAGAATAAATTGTGTAGTGTGTTGCATTATTTTTGTTCTCTTTTGAGGTTATTGGAGAGTTGTGTGAAAAAGGGGGAACGTTACAAGGATATAAATGATATAAAGGATATAAATATTACAGGTATATATTCTTAGGGATGGAGACCAATAGGGTCAATGCATATTAGCAATATGGATCAAACTTCATTTCTGAAATTTGAAGCTATCCCTTGATATCTTTTCTACGATGAAAAGGGAGGTTTTACCTCTCTAGTGTCCAACACAGCAATTGTTTATTGAGTGACTATCATGAGGTAGTCACTGTGCTACATATTTTAGCATAATGTCTGATCTAATTCTCACAAACACTCAGAGATGGATTTCATTAATGCTACAAACAAGGAAGTAATCCGAAAGAGATTAAGGAACGTACCCTAGATCACAAAGAATCTAAGTGGTCATTTTCTACTGTGATACTGAAATTGCTAAACTAAACTTAGGAACTAGGGTACACAATTCCAAAACTTGGTGGTCTTTGCTCCCTGTTTTCTTTCTCTTCTACTGACTCCAACCTCTGTAATAAGATTTGATTTCATCTCTTTCTCAGGGAAAACCTCTGGATCTGAGGGTCTTGATTTTAGTTATTTTTATAGTTTATCTAGGTAGCCCTGAGTCTCTTATGAGCCATTGTCCAAATGGGCCTCTTCCATCCTCTCCTCTATTGGCGGGCAGTCTAGGAGTTGATGAAAACTTTAAACAGATTAATAATTATACATCCAGGAAGTCAGAGCAAGAAAAGTATTTCTTATAGGAAAGCTGTAGAGGTGAAAATATAACAGCCTTGGATATGTACCTTATGAATAAATATTTTAGTTAGGTTTACTAGTATCCTTGATTCTATTTCATATACGCATTTCAAAAAAATTAATATGTACATGGGACTTAAATTACTATTCTTAGTTATAGGTGACTAAGGTATAGTAATTATCCCTTAGGACCACAGAATAAGATGTTATTGACTTTTATGATCATGTAAATTCAGATTTAACCTATATTATATATGTATATGATTATTTTCAAATTGTTTATAAAAACAATATTCTCAATAGTCTGTGGATAGACTTGACTGACAAAAAGTGTAAAAATTTACTTAACTTTTTAATAATAATGATTTTTCTTATCTATTTTCTTTTTTTATTTCTTGAAGAATGTACTATTTTGAAATGTTTGTGATTTTACTTAGTTCTTCTGGATTGTAGTTTAAAGTTAACACCTAAAAATTCATTAAATATTGTTTCTTACAGAATCATGGCAAAACACTTTTGAGATACTCATTTGTGCTTTTATATATATACTGCTTTGAAGGAAACAAATACTTTTAATTATTAAGTTATTGTTCCCTTTGGAATTAAAATATCCAACAATTTATGGCATATTTTGTTTTCTGAAAATAATCAGAAAAGATATGATTTTGGGAAATGTGCCACATTTCAGACTGAAGCCAACGAGTTCATATTTCTATTTATTGGATGTTGAAAGAGAATGACTGCTTGTCACGCATCTGGCTGCCATGCGTGTCATCATTCATGGATGGAAGGAGAATATGTGATGACCATATGTGACCATCAAACCTCAGCCCTCTGGCACTGGTGTATCACTTTTATACTTGGCAGAACCTTGTCTGACAATATTCCCCGACAGCTTGCAGCAGTTAATCAACTCTATCAGTGAATACAGCTGATCCTTTCTACAGATGGAGGGTGGTGGGTGCACTTTTCCAGCTCTTTTACACCTCTCTCTGAGCTACGCAGTCTCCAAAGTACATTTGCCTGCCAGTGGGTTTCTGGAGAAGGCATCTGCAATTATAAACGTTTTCCTGGGAACATACGCTGCATGCAGCTTAAACCCTATCAGGCATAACAGAAATTTCTTGTACCTTAAGGGAATTAACACAGAGATTTGATTTTGATAAAGGAGATAGACTTTATAGTTTGAAAGAATGCCAAAAAGCTAAAAATTGAGGCAAATGTGCTGATATCTCAATATTAGCATATTTCTAATCATTTGTAGGAAAAATACAAAATCAACATATATATGTGTGTATATATATGTATATATGAATAGCAATTGCTACTTATTTGTCATATAACTCAGAGGATGGTCCTTGTTGACTGTATTACTATGAAACTTGAGTTACCTGCAATGACTAGAACCACACTATACCTAAAAGTATCAAGCTTTTTCCAGCAAATTGTCCAGGATATACCAGCATCAGAAGATAGTAATATTAACCTGGTAATTTGCTTTCCTTTGAATTTTCATTCTCCTTTTGAGACTGTTGAAAAGGTTGGACACTTAAGTCATTGCAGAAACTCTCCCAGGGTGTTTTGAGCCCTAACAAACTTTCTAAACACCTGCACATATTATAAGTATGTGCTTATCTGGTCTTTATACACAACCTTGAGCTATTTATCAACATTTTTAAATGTTCAACTAGGGTACAGAATGTTTGTATGAGAGGGACTATGCTTTTAATATGACTTGAGTATAGCAAGTACTCAATAAATATTCTTTAATTAAACAGCTGTAAGTGACTTAGATATATTAGGTAATAGTTTGCTGACACCTTGAGCAATGAACAGAAGGTAGATAACTGTATTAAACAGTTCTATTGAAAATAGTCTCATCACTGTCACGTAAATAAGAAAAATGAAAGTAGCCCTAAAAAGACAAATTTCTTTCTAAATAAAAGAGATGGATGGGCATCGTGGCTCCCACCCATAATCCTAGCTTCTCAGGAAGTGGAGATCAGGCAAAAAGTTCCAGAGACCTCCAACTTAACAAATAAAAAACTGGGGTGGGGGAGGAGGTTTGTGCCTCTCATGCCAGCTATGTGGGAAGCTAACAGCCTACTGGTTGTAGCCCAGGCCACCCTGTGCAGAAACAGGGAGAACTTACTTAAAAAATTCCCAAAGTAAAAAGGACTGGGGACATGGCTTAAATGGAAGAATACCTCCCCAGCAAGTGCAAACCCCTGAGTTCAACCCCAAGTACCACCATAAATAAATAAAAATAAAATCAGTATTTTACAATTGCATGATGTAAAAAGCCTTTCTCACAGTCAATTATTCACCGAAGTGTTTCAACCTGGGTTGAAAAGCAAGAAATCAAGTTTGTATTAATTTTAAGGGAGATGCTTTTTATAGAAGTAGAAAGGTATAAACACCTGACTTAAACATTCTAGACCAGGAGGGACATTGGGTGTTGACAGGAAAGTATTTGGTGCAGGGACACCAGGCTGCCGTCCTTGGTTCCCTGCATTGGAAGAGACATGAAGGCTTTGATCTGGATCTGGAGCTCCAGGGAGGAAACCAGGGAGGCCTCTACTCCTCTGCTTCTGCGCATCTGCAAGAGAATAACAGTCTCAACGCACGTTTAAATTCACCCCATTGTATTTCATCCTCCTCAGAATATTTTTATGTCTTCCTTCCTCTCCTGCTCACTCTCGTTTCAGTGCCCTTTTCTTTTGTTTTCACAGCTCAGTGTCATTATCATTCGACCCCTAAGTATGAGAAAAAGGAATGTGAAAGACAGTTGGGAGCAGTTGTAAGAAAAAGCTGGATAACTAGGTCAAAAGAAATGACTTTAGGAAACGTAAATGTATTACCTACAGTCACTTACATAGATAGGTAAGTAACACCTGCCGGAAGAGATTAAGAATCATAAGCAACACACAGAAAACAATGGCAAAGGGCACTGGGCACCCCACACTCATGAACGGATCCCCTTTGACTTAGAATGTTAATCACAATGATGGCTTTCAAGCATAGTCTCCCTTCTCTAAATATTATGGGTGTGCCTTGCGATTTATGAGGATATTTTGTCTAATGTTATTCCCATACTGTTGGGGTTCCATTGAAGTTGTCGATTTTATATCTCTCTTTATCAGATCCACCAGGAGGAGTTATCAAAACAGGTTGTTGGGACTTCCATCATCTTCTGATTTAGGAGCTGGGCTGAGAGGTGGGGCTCATGAGTTCCTCAACCTAATAGCCCTGCTGATCTGAGGATATGCTTTGATGGCTAATGGTTTGAGTTCATTAAATCTATTAAGTCTATAAACTATGAGACGTTCACAGCTGGTTTGTCAGCTTCTGTTATTTGTTTAAAACATGGTCTCACTATGTAGCCCAGGCTAGCCTTGAACTCACTATGTAGCCCACGCTGGCCTCAAACTTACAATTCTCCTGTCTTAGCCACCCCAGTGCTGGGATTACAGATGAGTTCCACCATGCTCAGCTGTGAGTACCTTGAGCGTGCTATAAACATCAAATTAATCTTTGATTTCCTAGTATTTTGTTAAAAAATATCTAATACTTTTTTGATAATATGAGCCCCTTTCAGCTCACTCAATGTTATAAAAGGTAACATAATTACAGAATTCTATATAGTTGAACTTTGCCTTTTTAGAGAAATCACCTCTTTTCTATTTTGTTGCTAGACAAAAATGTTACTATTTCGATTGTCATTCAAATTGGAATTTGGAGGTTTTCATTTACTATACATTAGTCTGTGTAACATTTATGCATCAGCCCTAACGTGTTACATGCAGAGTCCTTTACTTAATTTAAAACGTAAATGATAGCCTTTAAAGAATTATTTTCCCTTTTTCTTCTAATACCTGCTTCTTGATATCTCCCTCATGAAAAATATCAACATATTTTTCAAAGAGTATTGTTGGTTTTTACTTCTCATCTTTATCTACAAAGTATGAGTTTTTGCAAGTGCGTTTAGTTAATCAACACTATGTGGGGAATAGACGTGGGCCAAAGTATCTGGCCAGGTTTTTTGAAATACGGAAAGGGTCGTGAGCACAAGAATAGCAGAGCCTCAGCACCTCAGACTACCTGGTTCCACTGAGGAGAGCCGAGCTTGCTCAGGATGCACGGGCTGAGCCCGGCACTGCTGGTGCTTGGTTCATTTCCCCCCCCTAACATAAAGACCTGCCACCTTTCAACAGATCTCAAACTTTCACTTTATCACTTAAGGTAAGCACATTCACTTCCACCTTGCTTTAGGGCCTCATGTGCTTTTGGGGAGGCAGATTTTTACAAAATTAAGGATAGAGAAACAGCAAATCACACAACAATTTAAACACAGCTGATGATAACATGGGACTGACTGATAGCTTCTCTGCATTCACTGAGCTGTAGAACGCATGCAGGAATTAAATTTCTTGCTTTGTTTTTGAAATTTCTTTTCATCTTTTAAAACTAATTTTTGACTATATGTGGTCAAAACCTTGTGTAATAAACCCATGGGTAAGATGGGCTTACTGTTCAGTCAAGCACTGCTTGACAGCTGGAACATTATGTTCTGAGAATACAGCATCATGGGATGTTGTTTTTATGTGAACATCACAGAATGTACTTCACAAACCAAGGAGGCTGTGACCTCACCAGGCAATGCAATCTTCTGGGGCCACCATGCCTTTGTGGTCCATCACTGGCTGCAGCATCCTTAGGCAATGCCTGACTGTAATTCCAACTGTTCTAAAGAAACGTGAACGAGAGGGACAAGGAAACTGGTTCTGCATTGACACACAGATGAAATGTACTCCAGCTGCACGAAGACTTGAGTAAGTACTCCCATTAACCATACAGTAAGACTGGGGTGCTAGGTCTGTAACAATCAGTCACGATGGTCTTACTACAGAAGTGATAGCCACATTTATGAAAGTTGGGGCATGAGGTGGATAGCTTTCTGTACCTTAAATTCTAAAACAATAAAATTTAAAAATTCACTGGATCTCATTTGAAGATAAATTCCCATCATGAAAAAACTGAAGCACAGACTGAATGAGCTCCTGGAAGGGCATCAAAATATGGATAAATAAATGTAGACAATCAAAGAACATCTCTTTGGACACTGACATAAGGTGACTATAGTTATGACAGCTCGTTAAGGTTGGGAACACATGTAGTATTAGTGAGAGATCAAAGCCAGATGATTCATTTACCTATTTAACCTTAAGGCTGTAGGAAGAGATTGGTTGTTATTATTAATGTGGGCTCCTTGGGTCTATTACATGTAGACTTTGCATGTTTTATGATTAGGAACAAATGGGAAAACATGGGGCAGGGTGTGGTGACTCATGCCTTTAACCCAAATGAATTGGGAAGCAGAGATTACAGTTCAAAGCCAACAGGGGCAAAAGTTAGCAAGACCCCATCTCAACAAACAAGCTGAGCATAGTGGTCTTCCATCTGTAATCCCAGCTAATTGGAGGCATACATGCATATGTTAGAGGACTGTGTGTGAGGCCAGCCCCAGGGAAAAAAAGGGAGACTAAGAATTAAAAAAAAGGGCTGGAAGCCTCGCTGAAGTCATAGAGCACCTGTCTAGCAAGTACAAGGCCCTGAATTAATATTCCAGTAGCATAAAAAAATAAGTAAATGAAAACAAAAAAAAACCAAGAAAAACTTGTCATTTAGCTCCACTAACACATAGCTTCAAAGTGATAATACTGTAGGTGACGATAGTTATGACAGCTCATGACAGCAGTTTGTTTCCCATATAGACTCCATCCTGAACTTCTGTTAGATCTGGGGCAGAGACAAAGAATGGCTTGAAAACTGGGATGGATCCCATGTGGTGAACCAAAAGGAAGACTCTGTAAGACAACGTTAAAATCAGGAGAGGAGCAAATAGCCAACAGACGAGCTGTAACACTGGGAAATATTAAAAGACAGCAGACATCTCTTTTTCAGCATATTGCTAAAACCACTGTTGTTATTGCATTTCAGAAAAAACAGAAGCAAAATTATGCCCTAGAAAACACTAGTTCTCAATAATAAAATTCAGAATAGTGGCTCATTTTCAAAATGGACATGCATGTGTATTGATCTGAAAAGAAACTTTGTGGTGTGCTGGAAGTGTTTCATATCTCCATCTCGGTTGTGGTTACATCAGTTTATCCGTATTTAAAAAATCATGGAAATTTTCCTGGTGCCTTGTATCCCAGATGCTTGGAAGGCAGAGATCGAGAAGACTGTGGTTTGAGGCTAGCTAGGGCAAAGTGTTTGTGAGACCCCATTTCAACCAGTGTCTGGGTGCAGTTGTGGGTGCCTGTCATCCCAGTTATGAGGGAAGGACAAGTAGGAGGATCAAGGCCCAGACTGAACAAAAAGTGAGACATTATCTCCAAAATACCCAGAGCAAAAGAGGCTGGAGGTGTGGCTCAAATGATGGAGTAACTACCTTGCAAGTGGGAAGCCCTGAAATCAAACCCCTAGCACTGCCAAAAACAAAAAAATTGTGGAATTTGCATTTGGTTCTCTGCACGTTACTGAATATAATTTAAAAGGCATAGGGATAGTTTCTAGGAGTAATTGGTAGGAGGTTATCAGACTTTCATTCCCATTTTCCTTGCTTAATTTTTGGCAGAAAGGTGGTAGTGCACCGCTGTAATCCCAGCCACTCATGAGGCAGAGACAGGAGAATCACAAGTTAGAGGCCAGCCCAGGCAAAGTTACCAAGACCTTACCTTGGAAACAAAATGCAAACAAACAGGCTGGACACGTGGCTTAAGAACTAGCGTGCTTGCTTAGAATGTGTGAGACCCTGGGTTCAATCTCTAGTATCTCAAAAAATAATTAAAAGTAAACTATGTTGCTATAAAAAAATGCAGTAGTCAGGGCTGGGGCATAATAAATTGCTAAAGTGCCTGCCTAGCAAGTATGAGGCCCCGAGTTCAGACCCCACTACCGCCGAATAAAAAATAAAAACAGATTATGAAGCATCAAAAAGTGGCTGTGCATTCCTGACCTTTGTCATTAAGTCCTTAGACATGATAGTAGGCCTAGAGACATCAAAGCAGTTAGAACCCCAAGTCCACAGTATTCAGGAGTGGAATATGGGAAAGTCTTGTCTGGGAGTGTTGAAAGAAAGAGGAGCCAATGGCCAACAGAGAGACCAGGGGCTTCCTCCTTGGGGTGGCAGCTCACAATGAAGAATCCTTTGGGCCCTCTGTCGTTTAGGCCACCCTAAAAATCCCTCTCTGCTTTTCTCATATTTGCAGTTTAAGACCAACCTGTACATAAATTTATTTATTATTCCAGGCAACCCACATTTCTTTGGATCTAATAGCATCCAGTAGAGTTTGTCCTTTGGTTAGGTAGTAGAGATGGGCATGCCTGTATTTACCCTGCATTCCCCTGGGAGAGGTTAACTGACAGTACAGTTTCACGGGCCAGAGAAAATCATGGAATCATAGGTAATATGTTAATAGAGATTGTGAATATGATCAAAGCACATTATATTCATGTGTGGAAGCCCTTTACTATGTACAATTTAAAAATATAACCAGCAAATAAAAAACAAATAATATAAATATACTTAAAGAAAACTATCCTCAAATATGTCTAGGCCTGACTCAGTGATTCACATCTATAATCTCTGCTAAGTGACAGGCAGAGATCAGGAGGATTGCAGTTTGAGGCCAGCCTGGGCTAAACATTAACAAGACCCCATCTCAACCAATAAATCTGGGCATGGTTGTGATACATGCCTATCATCCCAGCTATATGGAAGGCATAAATAGGACGATTGTGATCTAGGCCAGCCCAAGTAAAACCAGGAGAGCTTATTTGAAAAATAACGAATGTAAAAGGGAATGAGGGGTGTGAGCACCTACTTAGCAAGTGCATGGCCCTGAGTTCAAACCTCAGTACTCCCTTCACTAAAAAAAATTTAGGCTGGCCACATTTGATGGTGAATACTTGTAATACCAGCGTTTGGAAAGCTGAGGCAGGACGATAAAGACTTTAAGGCCATTCTGGGATAAGCAGTGAGTTCAAGATCAGCCTGGACCACATAACAGGACCCTGTCTAAAAAATAAAGATTAAAAAATGTTTTAGGCAAGTAATTATGATAATACCTCTCCATTCAAACAAGCTTTCTGATTCAAAAGAGAATTCCATTGTCATGTCCATTCTTTTAAGTAGAACAGAGTCTGCAACAAGTGTTTCATCCAAGCCATGTGCTAACTCCTCTGGTTAGATTGCACAAGGAGTGTAGTTTTCCTCCTAAAGTTAGTCTCAGGTTTAGTCTTCACTCTTTATCATTTCTGAACATCACTACTTTTTGGAAGATTAATCATATTTTGATCATCACATTGCTTTCTACTCACAAGTTTCTACAAAGAGCCAGACCACCAGATGAATAAGGAAGTCCTTTGAATTTCTATCTGGTTTGAATTTCTATCTACTCTTTTAAAAATGTATAACTAACTTATAAATATTTTATGCGTTCTGCAACTCTTAACCTTGCAGGCTACGATGTGGCTGTAACTCCTATTTTGTAAAGTGATAAAATGTTTTGGGCTCAGATTGTCAAGGAGTTGCTTGCTTGTCTTCGAGGATAAGAAAATGAAGAGTATACATGTTCAAATTTAGGATTTTGCTCTTTCTTGTATACGTATTTTACAATTTGCTTGCAAGCTTTCCCAATGAGTCTCAGTGACAGTTATACTTTAAATGTTGATAGAGAATGAAAAGATTACCTGTCTTAAATTTTAAATAGTGTGTGAAGTGTGTTTGATAAAAGAAACAAATAATTCTACTTGATACATTTCTTTAAATGGGTCATTAATTTAATTTAGAATATTATAAATTTGTGGATCCTTATTTAAAACTAGATCTAAAAGTTTCTACAGATAATACAAGTCATAACTCTTCTAAAACTTTTATTATAGCATAGAATTTAATGGTTTGTTCTGATAATAGAAAAAAAAGATGTAACTTGGTGTTTTATGCAAGTTTCACAAATATTTTTAGTGGGATTTCAACTTATCCTAAGAAAACTATAACTTTTATCTTTTGAGAACTTCTTTAAATTTAAGTTGGCAGTAATAATATATCTACAGCTTTAGGAATTTGAGGAAAATCTTAGCAGTTCCTGCCCTTCAAATGTTCCTAATTGATTTTCTTGCTTCAATTAGAGATTTTTATTGGCTTTCTTGTATTTAATTTATAATCAAATACATTTTGAAAGATTTTTAATTCATAAAACAGAAAAACTTATTTCCAGTTCATCAGACTTAGTAGCGCATGTATTATTCATATTTTAACTAAACCATTTTTTTATTTTTAGCTGACAAATAGTAATTCTATGTACAGAGGGTACAGTGTTGTATTTTGATATGTGTGTGCATTATGAAATAAACAAATCAGGTTATAACATGTGTACCACCTCACCTACCTATTTTTTGTATGTGTCACATATTTTAACCACAAATGAAAAATGAAGCAACACTGAATTACATTGTAACACTATGTAACTTACATACGAAAAGTTTTCTTCAGAGCCCTTTAAACTTGAAATTTCATCTTGTCCTTGGGTTTGATGTTAAATATCCCATTCCCAATTTTGTTATGAAGTTTTTCTCATTAATTTACTGTTTACATTTAGGACAATGAAAGTATATTTTATATTTGAATTTTGCATTCTGTAAGAGACAGTGTGTGTGCGCGTGTGTATATGTGTTAAGGTAACATGCTCACTCCTTGGACTTAAAAACTTAAGCTCCGGTGTTTAAAAACAACAGATGACAGCTTTTTAAAGTATCAGTCTTACCAACTATAACAACTCAACAACCAAGCATTTTTAGTCGTAAAATAAGGAAAAATCTATTAGCTGGTTATACTCTTACCTTTAGAGGCCATGAATATGTCTGAGTCACTTTTTCAAAGGCAGCCAGGTTAAAGAAAAGGCTTTTCTTGTTGCAACACGGAGAGAAAACAGCATGCATAAAACTTCAGAAGATGTCTGTCTGCCTCATGTCAGCTTACAAATAACGGGAAGGGAGCACCTTGCTGTTTCCAGTAGGCTTGATTTTATCTGTTTGGATAACGGGGAGATAGATGAAACTATTGCCAGAGGTAAACACTGCTCAGACACCGTCATGCAACTTGGTAGCTGAAGAAGCCATTTAAAAATACTGAAAACAAGAAAAGAAAGCATACTGCATTCATTTTTAACACGTATGAAAATAGCATAATGACATCTATTAAAACTGTAAAAAACAAGAGAGGAGTAAGAGAGGAACAGAGGGTATGAATTTGATCAACGTACATGAAATGCATGCATGGAAATATCACAATAAATTCCTTTGTATAATTATTACAAATATAATAATTCCTTTATATAGTTATCACAAATAAAAAGAGTCTTATTTCCACTCATTTGTTTTGTAAGTCTTGAAATATGCATGTTTGTATTTATTCCTACATCAGAAATAGTCTGGATTTTTAATTTCGAGAAGTCTCTTGTGCCACAGGCTGTGAGAAAACATCCAATTATGTGTCAGATTTTCATAGTTGTAAATACAATTCTTTACATGTTGAAAATGTTTGATCATTATTCATATTTTTGTCCTGTGATTCCTGTACGCCATCCCCCAAAAAGAAAAGGATGTATTCCCTACTCGTTATGCACATAAATAAATATTTTTCATTTTAAAATTAAACTTGATTAATCAGAGTATGCATACATTTAACTGCATACTCAAAAAAGGTGGCGTAACCCTGACTAGACAGATTGTATTTCTACGAGCTGTCCAGCTGAAGCTGTCGAGGTGCCCAGGAGATTTGCTGGCCAAGTCAATTGCCCTGTTTGGCTTGATTTGCAAAAGTTGAACTTGTAAGATATATTGCATTTTCAGCAACACTGTCTACTTCTAAAAATAGTTAAAAGGACTTAGAAGATATAGCAAGAAAAAATTAAAACAGGTTGTAAACTTCAAAAGGTTAAAATTTTCTTATTTGGCCAAGAGCTATCTTTCTTGTCGTTTTGTTTTTCCATTGGGGTTAGAAAAAATTGATATTATTTAAATTTTCACTTTGCAGAAAAGAGGTATAAATATGATTTTTATTTTAAAATTAAATTTCTCAAAAATTTAATAGACATTTGCAAAAACTTTAATCCAAAGAAATGAAGTTACTTACATTATCAAATGGGTATTTTATGTTGTGGTCATAATACTGCAGTTAATTTTGTCTGTTTTATGGACCATCAACTTTGAGACTAAAAAATAATCTAATTAAAATAAAAATATTTTACCATACAAGGCGGGCCATTCCTGCATTTGGACATGGTCTCCTGACCGACAGATGGGATCTTTCGATATTTAATCTTCAGTGAAGAATTAAATTATCTAACCTGGTAAGGATATTGTGAGGTGTCTCCAATTCCTATGACTTCTCCTTGGCACTCTCTTACTGTCCTACCAAAGATAGGACCAACATGGTTCTGCTTTTTAAAGGCCTAAAATCCACCATCCTCAGCCCTCTCATCAGTCTATGCTGTCTGTTTTTCAGTCCTTCTCTTGCAGTGGCTCACAAACACTCCTTTTTTTTTTGTTACTTTTTCCCTTCCATCTACACCTCCAGCTTGTGTCCCCCACAGTCTGTATAACTTATGGAGACTAGTGTTTATAATTGGCTCACCAAACTACTTAGTAAGCCAAATCAGATGGTGATAAACTTCTGTTTGGGTGAGATTTGATTCAGTATGTTTACAAAATTATTTCTAAATTTCTTTGGAGCAAGCTAATTCTTTTTTTTTAAAAATTACTTTTTATTAGCATATGATAGTTGTATGGAGGATATACATCACGACACATGTGCTCACAATGCATCTTTTTATTGCTATAAATTTTATTAGGATGTAGTCATTATTCAGGGGAGGATTCATAGTGACAGTTCCAGCTAGACTTATATTGCACATTACTTACATCGCCCCAATTGTCTTTTCTCCTTAACCCCCTCCCCACCCCACTTAAAGCAATCGCAAGTTCTCATAGTTCTGTTTCACATAGGTTTATGAAGTCCATCAACCATATACCATTCACCTTAATCTCATTCCTTCACCCTCCTCCACCACTAGTACCCCCTCCCATATACATTGTACATATTTTACAGTCCTGTCTTTCATCATTAATATTTATGTTGATGGTCAAAGGTGTTTTTTAATGTATCCCTGCTGTGGATGTACTTTACTTTGGTCCATTCAACCCCTTTCATTACTCTCCCTTACCCCCTTACTTCCCACCCCCCACTTTCAACAGTTTTCAATACACATTCTTATATCTCTACCGCCACCTTTTATGGTATGCCATATTTCTGTTGCTCTGTCATTCTCTTTCCCCAAGTTCCATAGAGTAGTTCCACTGTTACAATCATCTTCTACATCTGAGTTTGCATATGATCATGCTTGTTTTTGTGTATATGTTTATCTTTGGATCTGTCTTCTGAGAAAGATCCAAAACATGCTGCCTTTGTCTTTCTGATCCTGGCTAACTTCGCTTAACTTGATGCCCTCCAATTGCATCCATTTACCTTCAAACCCCATGCCATCATTCCTTGTGGCTGAGTAATACTCCATTGTGTATATATCACAATTTCATGATCCATTCATCAGTTGTAGGGCACCTGGATTGTTTCCAGAGCTTGGCTATTGTGAATAATGCTGCAATGAACATCAGTGTACAGGTGTCTCTACTGTATCTTCTCTTATGTTTCTCTGGGTAGAAGCCCAGGAGCAGTATCACTGGATCATATGACAGTTCTATATCTTGTTTTTTGAGGAATATCCGTACTGCTTTCCATAGCGGTTGTAATAATTTGCATTCCATCAGCAGTGTATAAGGATTCCTGTTTTGCCACATCCTCTCCAGCATTTGTTGTTATTACCCTTGATTATGGCCATTCTAACTAGGATGAGATGAAATCTAAGTGTTATTTTGATTTACATCTCTGTTAAAACCAGGGAAGTTGAACAAATCTTCATGTATTTACTGGCCATTTGTACCTCTTCCTTTGAGAATTCCCTGTTTAATTCACGTGCCCATTTCTTCATTGGGATGTTGATCTTTTGGGGCTGAGTTTTTTGAGTTCCCTGTAGATTCTGGATTTTTGTCCCTTATTGAATGAGTAGCTGGTAAAGATTTTCTCCCATTCTGTGAGCTGTCTCTTGAGTCTGGTGGCTGTTTCCTTTGCTGTGCAGAAGCTCTTTAGTTTGATGCAGTCCCATTTGTTCATTCTTTCTCTTAGATGCTGAGTCTTTTGAGTTCTACTTAGGAAGTAGTGCCTTATATGTATATATTCCAGTGTATTTCCTACTGTTTCCTGTAGTTGTTTCAAAGTTTCAGGCCTTATATTAAGGTCTTTGATTAACTTTGAGTTGACTTTGGTACAGGGTGAAAGACAGGGATCTAGTTTTAGTCTTCTACATGTGGATATGCAGTTTTCCCAGCAACATTTGTTGGAGAGGCTGTCTTTTCTACATTGCGTGTTTTGGGGTCTTTTGTTGAAGATCAGTTAGCTGTGGATGTGTGGGTCTATGTCTGAGTCTTCTATTCTGATCCATTGATCTTCCCGTTTGTTTTGTGCCAATACCTGTTGTTTTTATTGTTGAAGTTGGGTATTGTGATGCCTCCAGCATTGGACATTTTTTGCTCAGAATTGCTTTGGCTATTTGAGGTCTTTTGTGTTTCCAGATGTATTTCAAGATTGAGTTTTCTATTTCTGTGTAGAATGTCATTTAATTTTGATAGTGATTAAACATGTAGATTGCTTTTGGTAGTATGGACATTTTTACAATGTTGATTCTACCAATCCATGTACAAGGGAGATCTTTCAACCTTCTGATGTCTTCCTCGTTTTTTCTCTTTAGTGGTTAATAGTTTTCATTAAAAAGATCTTTGGTTTCCTTTGTTAAATTTATTCCAAGGCACTTTATTGTTTTTGAGACTATTTAATGGGGTTGTTTCTCTTATTTCTTTCTTAGTCTGTTTGTTATTGGCATATAGGAAAGCTACTGATTTCTGTACATTAATTTTGTATCCTGCTACTTTGCTGGAAGAGTTTATAATTTCTAATTTTTTAGTAGAGTTTTAGGGTCTTTTACTTGTAGGATCATGGCATATTCAAATAAGGTTAGTTTGAATTTTTCCTTTCCTATTTGAATCCCTTTTATTTCGTGCTCTTGTCTTATTGCTCTGGCTAGGAATTCCAAACTATATTGAATAGTAGTGGAGAAAGTGGACATCCTTATTTCATTTCTGACTTTAGTGGAAACCGTTTCAGTTGATCTCTATTTATTATAATGTTGGCTAAAGGTTCCTCTTACATAGACAAACTGTCCTTAATAAACTCTCAGGCCTTTCAAGGATCCTAGTGCTGTGTGATCAGGCAGCTGGGTAATCTGCTCTGTGCTCCACAAGAACAGGCCTCACCTGTTTTCCTCCTGCTATGGGTGACACATCTAACTTCACCTTCACGTTCATCAGTCCTCACCTAATTCCTCTGACTCCACAGAAGAACCGGGACTGCCATTATCAGTCAAAATGGCCACACCATCTACTGTCTCATTCATGTCTTCCATGTGTGAGAGAAAACATACTGAAGTGTAATGCCATGGTCTCTATTCTATGGGAATGTGTACTCTAGTGGAGCGACACAACACAAGGATTCAATATTCTACTTAAAAAAATTGTCAGTCAGTTTCTATTTCCTGAAAATAAAATGATGTGATTCCTCCTCTCCCTGAAAAGCATAACTAATTAGAATCAATAGTAAGCATCTCATTGTTTCAGACATGCATGTTAAATTTCCATTTCTCTGTTGTTTTAAAACAGGAAAATAGTAACTATCAAGAAATTCATTATTGAGTAATAAACAGTAAATTGTATCACCCTTGTTGGTTGATAATAAGAAGTAACTCTTATCTCCTCTCCACCAAAATTAAAAAGAGCAAAACATTGACTCAAAGAACCAGAAAGAAAGGAAAGGAAGTTTAAGTACACAAAAGAATCTGTGTGAAGCTGAGAGAAGCATGGTGGTTCTGGAGCAAATTTATCCCGTGGTCCTCATTGATCAAGGTGGCATGGAAAGGCTCTTAATTTGTAGTTCTGTGCTCAAGGACATCGTGGGAAAAATCGTATTCTATAATCAATAGACTGTAAAGCCTATTCTGT